TTATCATTAATTACAATTTATTCCTATAATTTTAACCTACACTTGTACATGCATGTAATGTACGATGTAGATAATTTTAATTATAATTATAATTAAAAGTATGGATAGTTACTTACAAATCATATTTACAAATTTAACACTCATTATTATTATTATTTTTTAACTGCCGGAGATTAGGGCTGTCAAAAAAGCTCGTTGTTCGCGAATAGCTCGTGTTCGGCTCGTTCGTTAAGTAAACGAGTCGAAGAAGAACAAGTTTTTAAAGCTTGAATTAAGAATTCGGCTCGTTTTAACTACATATATTATTTATATAATAATATATTATATATATTTATATCTAAGTTTAAAATGTAATTGCTCGTATGACGATGTGGTTATGTGTCTTCTTTTGAATATATTTGGTCCGGATTCGAATCCAACATTGCATCTATTTTTTCAGTTTAATTTTAACTAATCAATTTTGAGCTAAACACAAACACTAATATTTAAATCAAGCTGTACACGAGCACAATGTTCACGAGCCGATTTCGAACACGAACAATTTTGAATGAGCCGAACACGAGCCAAACCTGAGCTCGCTCAAGCTCGGCTCGTTTTCAGCCCTCGCACCAACCCCACCAGATCAAATTATTGAGAATTTGATTAAAATGCAAAATATTGGTCGACATTTTATCCTGAATTTTGATAAAGCAAATTGTCAAAATTGTCTCTGTGAGGCTGTTTTAGTTCCAAACTTTATAAAAGAGCCAAAATAGTCTCCAACTCTTTTAAAATTGAGCTCTAATAGTCTTTCATGAGGACTATTATATTTCAGCTATAATATTAAGACGACCATATGTAAATAGTCTGAGATTATTTTGATACTTTACTCATTTTTTATATTTGAGCGAGAATTTGAAAAATGGACCAAAGAAGTTGGTTGGTTTGTAAATAGCAAAGTTTCATGGTGTTTGTTTGTGATTGATGGCAATTGCACATATTATAATCATATTATTAAAGAAATACTAACATTAATCATAAATTTATCAGTTTATAATAGTCACACTCTAAAAGAAATATGAATAAAAATAAAATAAAATAATTTGACAGAGAATATTTATATTAATATTTTTAAATACGATTAATGATGTGATATTTGTTTATATTATTTAGAAAAATAATTATAGCTTATTATTATTTTTATCCATAAAAATATAATTAATAATGTGATCCATTATATAAATTTATGTGAGAGTATATTTATCTTCATTTACTTTATTTTTAGGGTGTATTTTATCATTTTTAAGGTTTTATAAACTTATAAATAAATAAATAAATAACTTTATGGAGACAAATAAGATTTTGTTTTTATTTGGTATTTATATGTATCCCTTCAAGGTCTGAATTGCATTAGCCAATATGAAAGAATTTTCTTAGGTTTTATTAGCTTTAAAAATAATCAAATTAGTATGTTAAATCAATTAGTTATATAATTATATTTTAAATACAGATTTATACTAAATAAGTATTTTTTTTAGTTTTTTTTTTTATTTGGAATTTTGAGTCATACTCAGACTGAATGAATAAAATCATTAATTTCAAAAACTGACTTTTTAATCAATAATTTGAATTATTAAGCTCACTCCTTTCACGGATATATTCTTTTCAAATTTTGCGTCTGTGTGTAACGCCAGTCATCCGCCTAAGTATTTTCATCTCAACAACACTTAGTTTTATACTCTCTTTTATAGGCCACTATTCTACATCAAAAACATTTCAGGTCTCACTATCGTCTTAGAAAACTTTCTTTTTAAGTTTAAACGATACTTTTTTATCACACAATGGTCCCAAATTCATTCCTCCACTTCAACCATTCAATTTGAATTCTACTAATAAAATCCCCATCTATATCACCATTTCTTTGAACAATATACCTGAGGTATCTAAAATGCTCACTCCTTTTAATAACTTGATAACCCATTGTTACACCCTCACCGCTGCTACTACTACTACTAAAATTACATTTCATGTATTCAATTTTAGATGTTCTCAAATGATAGTCTTTAGACTCTAAAGTTGACATCCATAATTCAAGTTTTTCCTGAACTCTTTCTTTAATATTATCCACATGAATATCATCAATGAAAAGCATACACCAAGATACATCCTCTTGCAAATGTCCAGTAATAACATCCATAACTAATGCAAAAAAGATATTGGCTTAAAGTCGATCCTTGATGCAATCCAACTCAAAAAGGATAATACTTGGTCAATCCTCTTTCTTTTCGAACATAAGCAACAACTCTATTATGCATATTTTAATAAGTTGATTATAAGTCATATTAACACCTTTTCTAGAACTCTCTAAAGAGCTTCTTTCTTAATCTTATTGTAAGCTCTAAATAATTAAAAAAATTCATATGTAGATTCTCCTTACTCTCTGTGCACTTATCCATCAAACCTCTCAATAAATGTATAGCTTCCATCGTAAACTTGCTTGGCATAAATCCAAACTAATTTTGGGAAGTCTATAATATCACATCTTAACATTTGTTCAATCACTCCCCTAACTCCCAATTTGCACACTCTTGTGCAACCTCTTTATTCTTAAAAATAGGGATCAAAATATTATTCCTCCACTCCTAAGACTTCTTTTTTAGTTTAAAAAGTTTAGTAAATCAAGAAATTCCCAAATCTCCTAAATATTTTCACACTTTTATTGTGATATTATCACGTACTAGTAATTTTTCACTCTTCATTTTCCTTGAAGCCTCCTCAGCCTTAATTTTACTAATGAGACATTAAAATAAAAAAAATTTTCTTATTATTAAAGATATTAAGATCACTAAAGTCGATATTCTTTTCAAAATATTCACTAAAAATTTCATCAAAATATTACAACCATCTATATTGTATATGCTCATCAAATTAATTTTTATCCTTAAAAAACTTTACTTTAATTAAATCTTTACATTTCTTACCTCTTTGTCTTGCTAGTCTACACATTTATTTTTTGCTCTTTTTAAAATCTAATATGTTATAAAGATCTCTAAAAATAAAATTCTTAGCATCACAAATTGTTCTTTTAGACTCCTAATGGGTCACCTTTTATTTTTTCAATTATCTAAGTTTTTATATCTAAACCAACTTTTATTAAAAAACTTACATTTTATTTTTTCTTGAACATTATTATTACACCGCTAAATAATTTTATTTATAAAAGCTATTTCTTTTGATTCTTCAAGTATATCTTTCTAACTTGTTAGTTTATCTCAGATAGTAGTACTTTCTTCATGAGCACCCCAAATCTTAAGACCTTAAAGTTTACTCATAAACAAAATTTTATTTGTGGCTTTTTTAGTGTGTCCACCTAATTCTATAATAATAATTTGTTGTATTTTTTATCTTTCAACGTTTATCTTAAAATACAAAACAAATAATCGATGTTGAGTACTTAATTTTTTACTTAGCATGACCTTACAATCCTTAAAATCTCGACAATCTCTTTTTCAATAAGAAAAAAATAAATTTGTGTTTTATTAGAGCTATTTTTATAAGAGATAATATGCTCATCTATTTTCTTCAATAATAACTCCAAAACCATAGCCACCGTGAATATTTCTAAAATCATCTACTACTTTACCAACATGTCATTCAATTCTCCTCCAAGAAAAAAATTTTCTTCAAGAGATAACCTTTGTATTAATTATTCTAGATCATTCCAAAATTTTTCTTTTGAACATAAATATAAGCCTACTTGAGAAGCATAAGCACTTATAACAATAAGAATCTCAGTATCAACAATAATCCTAAAGTTATAGTTCTATCTCAATACTAATGATTTTACAACATTATCTTTCAAACTCTTATATATAATCACACTTACATCATTTCTATTGTGACTTCTACTTCTACTATCTAACACAACTCGTCACTCTGGAACTTATGTCCTGACAATGAGTGTTTTTTAAAGCGTACAACCAACTTATAAAATTTATTACTAAATAAAATGTAAGGGTCCCTTTGGTTTTATGTTTGGTTATAAATTTTTGATGTTTTCCGTCAATTTTTTGGGTTAAAAAATAGTTTTTTTTGTTTTTTTGTCCAATATACTAAGTTGTTGTAGATTATTTTAAAATAATAAAAAAAAATCGTTAATAGCATAACAGTTTTTAAAAATCTATTTTTTCATAACTATTTTAAAAGATTACTTTTAAAATTTGTGCCATTTACATCCATACCACCCAATTACTATATATTTACATATTTTACTCTTAAACTCTGATTTTTATATTTATACACCTTCCACTATTTTAATTTTTAAAAAGTAAAACTTTTTCATGCCTATATAAAAGAGTGCATGTCAATACATAGAAATTGCGTGAAATTGAGATTAAAACTAATGTTTGACGCAATTGTTCTAAAACAGTCACATTTATGTTTTAGGGTCCATTTGGGGTATTTTGTGAGTGCTTATCCTGAAACGCGGCCCGCGGGCCAACCGCCGGAGTCGACCCGCGGGCTGCGTTTAGTGTAAAAACCCAAACGCTGTTTCAGATAAGCTGGTGAAAAAGCACGAATCAAACAGTACGGCGGCCCGCACTTATAAGCTGCCCCAAACGGACCCTTAGAAAGGTTGATCATATAATTAAAAGTTACAAGAATAATTTTATTAAAAATAAAATGTGATTATATAATCATTTTTAAATCATAAATATTTTTTTTTGCAACATAGCTAATAATTACACTTTTAAATGAGGCTAAAATATTTAAATTTATTTTGATTTTATTATAAAAGAAATTAAAGTATAATAAAAGATATCATCACTATCAGGTATTTCATTTTAAAACAGATCTTTAATATGTGCAAAAAGTAAAAACGAACCTTGTTGACAATACTAAGTAATATGTAGAAATTACATTGCTGAAAATAGAAATGCAGCCCATGAAATCTTCAAAACATGAAAAATAAATAAAAAAAGAGCCTTTTTTACATAATAATTTTCTTTTTCATCACTAAACACAGAACATGATATCAGATATATTTTTTTTATCAGACTTTACACTTTTTCATAAATATAAATAATTCTGAACATCTACATAGACATTGTTCATACAACAATTTATCAATATACTGTGAGGAGCACAGATTATGAAAACATCTACACAAAATGTTCTACTGATCAGGAAACCTCAGGCTGTGAGGAGCATTGTTGCTGTTTGAATAACTTCTTCACTGCTTCTTCCTTCTCGTCGATGAAGTCGAAGAAGCTGTAGATGGTTTTCGAGCAGCTCGTGATTGACGAATTGTCTCTATTTTGCTTCTTGAAGTGAATGAATTGGCGGATTGACTGAAGAAAGAATACGAGGAGAGCAGCAATGGCTACAATCCCACAGATCATGAAGAGTCCCCAGAAGCTGCTCAAATGTAGCTGATTTGGCTTTGAGCTGTCTGCTCTATGATCACAATTTTTCCGGCAGAACCATTTGTTATGAATTTTCTGGAGATCGCCGTTCTCCGCGAGTTTTAAGATAGCACTAGATAAGTCCACTGCAAGAGGTGAGTTGCGACGAAATGCCTGCCGTGTTAAAATGATTAAGAGAATGATTTGTAAGAGTTATGTGAAAAAATGATAAAAATAATGAGAATTTTGAAAAGAAATAAACAACAAAGACAAGTTTTTATCCCACTAAGTGAGGTCGGCTACATGAATCCTTTTTCTCCATTGCATCCTATTGAGTGTCATATTTTCATTTGACATAAGAAAGATAAAATTTTTAAAGAGGGAAATTTATATATATACCATGCAAGTCTTCTATATTCACATATTCAACTCCCAAAGATTGATATTTAGGCTTATAACACCTTGATATAATTTTTAAAGAGGGAAATTTATATATATACCATACAAGTCTTCTATATTCACATATTCAACTCCCAAAGATTGATATTTAGGCTTATAATACATTGGTGTTATAAGCCTATACATAAAAATGTGTATTTCACTGTTAAAAAGGTGGTGCTGTGCTTTTTTTTTTTTATGTGATTTTAGAGGTTTGAGTGATATGCATGTAAATATGAATGTATAGGTGTTAGATATGTAAATAACATAAAAATTGTGTGGTATGTATGTAAATGCCCCTTCTAAATTTTTTTAACATCTTTGCATCTTATCATAGATTTTAATATATTTTAAGTGTATTTATATTGCATTTGTTTTAATGAGCTGACTCACTACCTAATGAGCCTGAGTCGGGGTTAGCCTAAACTTGACCTGTTTCATGAGTTTAATTCACGAGCCATTTATCCTACCGAGTTCAAACTCGACGACGAGTAGACTTTACTCAATTTCACCTCTGCCTTCAACTATAGGCTTCAACTTTTGGGTTAAATATGCGTTTGAAAACTAATGTGTCAAATTTCTAGGCAGTATGAACTCTCAAAATTTAATGGAATATTTGAACTCTTATCATTACTACAGAAATCTTGTGAGCTCGTTATTTTTTTTTTATTTAGTTCCTCATAGTGTTTTGCTTGTGTCGGGTGTTATTTTGGAAAGAATGATTTTGAATTTGAATTTAAGTATGTATAGATATCAATGTAATTTTGATTTTTTAAAAATAGTAATTTTTTTTTTAATTTTAAAATAAATGAGACCAAACGGGTATCACATATTGGATAATTTAAACGGCTAAACGCGATACCACAGATAATACACTATCCCGAAGGATAAACATATCACTTATAGTAGGTTCAACCACCCAAACTAAAGAATTTTGTGACATCTGTTTAGCCTGCGAAACCTTTTATGTATGGTCGACAAGTTCCTCTTACATAATATAAGGATTAAATAGGATTTATTTTACCTGAGTTTCAAGTTCTCTATAGAGGCAAGCCTCTACCTAATATAAGGATTAGATAGGGTAGGTGATTTATATGTGACATTGGAAATGTTCCCAATTGCCAGGAGGATTTGAGTGTAAGATTCAAGCTCAAATCTCGGAACAATGAGTTTCATTTTAGGTCAAGTTATGAAGAGAATTTCATTATTTTATTTAATTAAATCAGTCATGAACCACAGTCTGGTGCATATCTTGTCTATTGCTTTAACTAACTTATGAATTAGAGTAAGGTATCTAGCTTCAATATCCATTTAAAAATTAGGTAGATGAACTCTCACCTAGGGTGTGCTCCTAAGAACTAGGAAGTCTACACTTTAACTTGAGCTTGAAGTGTTTTAAAGTGTTATGTCTTCAATTAAGTGTTTTCCAACTAATCCTCGAACATCATTAAATCAAACTTAGCTCTTAAGACCTAAGAGGTAAACCTATAATTTTGACAAAAAGGTTCATGAAATGTGCTACAATCCTAATTAAAACAATTGGGCTTAAGTCTAACCAATGCTTAGGGGTCTTAATTGATAGTCTACTGATCTCTCAATTCATACCCAACTCTTAAATTATTTAAGCTTTTGATTTCTCCAAATTTTCAACAATTCTCACAATTACAATTTTATCCTTCTTATGTAGAAGAATGGTGAATGATTTGCTATCATATTTCTCCTTGAGTTTTAATTAGCTCAACAGACTAATTATCATTATTTTTTTTTTAGTTCCTTCCCTTCTGATTGTCCCCCCCCCCCTTTTTTGAAGGCGAGAATCAATTCTGAAAATAATTAAATCAGAAATTCAAATTTTTAACTTAACCATTGCAAGAAAAACAAAAACAAAACAAAACCAAATAAACGGAGGAGGCCGACACAATTAAACAAAATCAACAAAGCCAGGAGCGAAACCGCAAGTAAATCGGCCTAAAAGCATTTAAATTCTTTCAAAACAATGACAATGATCAAATCAACCAAACAATGATCAAATCAACCTCCAAAAGATACGTGAAAGCCTCCAAAAATCAACACTTAAAGTGCCCAAAAAGATGTATAAAAGCTTCCAAAAATCAGCAAGTAAATAGAGTGAATTTGCCATAAAACGACGAAAGTATTAAGCGAACATCATTTGCATTATCTTTCGAGACAAAAAAAACATATCAAGCACTCGGCCAAAAGAGTCAAACGAGATCTTGTGTGCATACACCACAATTCCTATTCATTAACATACCAAAAAAATTCTAAATTTCAGCTCTTACATTTATGCCACCCAATCTTTCACGTTGCATCAAAATATCACGATTCTAACCTTAAAAAGTTTGATACACCCCTTTTCATGTGTAAGGAAGATAAAAAGAAAGATGATTAATTGCTAACTATGTGAAGTGCACAAAGATTGAGTAGTATGTGTGTAAAAATCATATTCCAGGGGATCTGTATGCAGGTCTTTCCAAAATGCACGAGAATTAAACAAAACCTGTACATATACATATGTTTGAAAGCATTGCTAACAGGAATATAAATGAATCCATTAACTAGAAGCAGCTTCTGTGTTTGTGTATTCTAAATAAAACGATTGATCATAAGAATAAAACCATGGCAAAAAAAATTCATTTCTCAATAGATGCATGGTATAATTTTTGGAGCAGCCTAAATGATAATGCCACACTTAAATATATTCATTAGAAATCTGAGAGAATTCACTTGTATAGTGCATACTTTTGCAAAAGCCTTAATGTGCTGATGGGATAACCTCATATTTGAAAGAAGCAAGTCTGCAAAGCAGGAAATAAAGACCAAACGTAGAGATCCATAGTGGAACACAGTTGGCAAAACGGACGCCAAAACGAAAACGCATACCATAGCACAGGAATCCATATTAAGATTGAGGTTAATGCCGTCATATATGAAATCGTGATACAAACCGCAATTCTTTTAAACAAAACCATGAACAAGAAACCAAAAGCAAATGGTCTATCACCCCTTCACAATGAAAGAGTAAAAAGCATAAATGTTTCTCCCATCAATTCCATCCCACTAAATTCCAATAAATTTATGTCTCAAAATCTAGTTTGTATCTCAGAACAGTACACATGATGCTAGGGTTTGCAACATAATGCTAGTATCATTCGTTCCGAAATTGAATGTCAGAATTGATGCGTATGCAAGTAGAGAGCAAAGGAAAGTTCCCAAAATTTTCAGATTTTGCAAATGTGCCACCCAAATGTTTCAGATTTTGCAAATACGCCACGCAAATGTTTTTTAGATTTTGCAAATAGACCACCCTAAGTTCTCAGATTTTGCAAATAGACCACCCTAAGCTCTCAGATTTTGCAGATATACCACCCAAAGTTTTTTTAGATTTTGCAAATGAGGCACCCAACATTTTCAGATTTTCACAAATAGGCCACCTAATACTTTCAGATTTTCAAATAGGCCACCCAATACTTTCAGATTTTCAAAAAAAGCAAGGCAAATAGTTCCAAACATCAAGCCAAAAGAAAGGCTATTCTTCTCCAAAACCGTCGGAGTGATTCAACTAACACATGAAACAAATTTGCAATAAGGGACTCATATGGATGCTTTAAAAATATGAAAAACTGAGAAGGAAATTGAGAATCAGCAGCTCATATTTTCCTTCTTGTTAGGTATGGCTCATATACCATAAATGAGACAAATGCTGGAGCGGAGTGGAGCGGAAGGATCTGTCCAATCGAGGGAGTTTCATTATGTGGGTTGGGGGTCCGAGGGCAACACCCCACGGTTTGGTATATGAGTAATTTAAGTAATTACATATTGTACTATAGGGTTATATATATGTCATGTATGTAACCCTAGGTGACTTTCTGAAACTCCGAGATTCTATCCTCTATTCTGTAACATTTTTTCTGAATAGTGGAAAAGTCGTCGCTCTGCTCCTGTGGATGTAGGCATCTTTGTAGGACCTCGTAAATTTCTGTGTGTTCTTATGGATTTGTGTCAATTCCTATTTTTCTTCGTCCTAATTTCTCAACACTTCTTTTTAGTGAAATACGCATATTGATGCATAGGTTCAAAAGCACCAAAGTGTCGATATGCAAATACAGAAGAATTGCGAGCTAAGTGTGCCAACTTTTCTGTTTTTATCTCACCTCCAAGTATCAAAATTCCATCAGGTGTGCAAAAAAAAAAAAAAAAACCCTTAAAAAAGAAAAAATCCTTAAAAGAAGCAGTCTTTTGACCGATTTCAAAGAAGAAATCTTAAGAAAAAATAAAAAATGTAGAACAGGCTACTTGAGATTATGATACCTCATCATCATTAGAGGAGAACAAGACCTCGGCGTCCCAAAATGTCAATAATCAATATTGCTCCTCCCAATAAAATTTCACTAGTTTAGTAGGCAAAACAATACTGCAACAATCTTCAAAGAATATGCAATAAGCCTTCATGCTTGTTTTATCATAAATTCCATGATAACAGAATATGCATCCCCATTATAGACTAATTGAAAGCTCAATCATCGCATAAATAGCATTCAAAACATTGCTAAAACTGGCATTCCGATGACTGGAAAGGCAATCTGAGATAATCACACATGGTTCAAGAAAGAGATGCAAGTTTAAGCTTACCTGGTTCTCCACCAAATTCTAAGCAAAAACCAGCCTGTCGAGCAAACCAAAACAAACAAGAAGTCCGATCAATCAACATGCCGAGT